TAGATCATTACATACAATATGAATATTTCATCACTCATTCATCATATAGTTTTACTCATGTCTCTAATCGATTTAAATGAGATATGTGCTTTTTTGTTATATTTTGAATTAATAATTTCTATATGAAAAATTTAGGCCAAATATATTCTAAGATACTTATTCATTATAAAAGTTTTATTTTAGTTAATCATTTACAGCTATGTAATGCTCTATCAATTTGTTCCTGATTGTCATTATTGATTGTTGGAGTACACACACTGTACGGGATCTGTCATCAATCATAACTTTAAGTAGAATTGTTTTATCGAATGGCCATATAGACCAGAGCTCACGATTAGAGAGATAGAGACTCCCCCCCTCCTCTAAAATGTCCGACTTTTCGCCAGTTTTTTACAGCTTCGTGTTAACTTTGAAAAGCAACTGGATTTTGAAACACCATTTGTTTTTCCCTGGCACAAAAGCGAAATCAAAATTAGTAGACAACGTCATTGCAAGGTAAACAAGATTGGGTAGGGACGGTCCTAGTAGCTGGTTGTCTGTTGTAAAAAGAAATCGAGCCACAGTAGATTTCGTTCTTCATTTCAGTCATCACTTCTAGCACTCCAATACTGGAAGCACTGTCTACCAAATTTTCAGGTCCAACTCTCGAAAATATCGACAATACAGATACAGACTGGACTAATCTTATTCAATTTCTTTTACTTATTAAGTAGTCTCAAGAATTCTGCATCAACAATTATGGGCGGCGCAAGCTCATTGGTTTAGGGAAAGCAATAAGCTTTAGAATGCGACAGAGTTGGAACCGATCCGGCCGGTCTGCACCGGTTTAAAAAAAATGTTAGTATGCTGTTTTCTTTTGATAAGACGTGTCGAGATCAAGTTTAAACGCATTTATCAAAATAGCCAAACAGTATTGTTGCAGAAATTAACAGTTTTATCTTTTTCTGTGTGTCTATACTTTTGTATTTCTTTAATCTATCTGTCTTTCGCTTCATGAAAAGCACAATCAAAACTGTGTTACTTGAGATTAACTTCTGAGCTTATCTCGTTAATGTTTTGTTGGAGACTAGATTTGAGTTTGAACTGTCATTCTCAGAGGAACACTAAGTTTTTTAGTAAAATTTGAGTGGAAAACTTCAAGAACTGCAGTTTAGAAATCAGTTGGTGGTTAAATTGTCTAATTTTCGCGCTAAAGAGATGTCACAAATTCATCTTGAGACATCTTAAAAATATGAACGCCTGTGATATGATATTTTCTTTTAAGTAGTTCTAAAAATGCAAGCAGAAAAAAGAAACTGAGTGATTGTTGAAGCTACTTCCTTCAACCGATTAAAAATGATCTGACAAGCCGACCGATTTTTACCGGTCTGAAAAACTTTTGAAACCGGCCGAGCCGGTCTAATATTTGGATCAGCCGGACAGGACCGATTAGAATATGCTTGACCAGTTCCAACTCTGGAATGAAACTATATTTCCCCCTTCGAACCATAGCTCTAAGCTCGGCAGTAAAAGTTGTTTTTTTTTCGAAATTAATTTCTCAAAGATATTGTATCGGAAGCCTGCGTATTAATTTATTTTGACAGCATATTAAGAGTTTGAGAGTAGTGTGACGTTTTTTATTGAGAACAGATGTATTCAGAACGAGTGGGTCAAACTCAAGATTTTTTTGTTACTTTCAGCTCACCAATCATTTAGTTTTCGAGTTCATACTGATGTGAAAGTAGAGCCCTGCAGGGTATAGATAACCTGCCCTACCCTGCCAGGGCAGGGCAGGGCAGGGCCAGATTATGAAAATTTTTACAGGGCAGGTTGCAGGGTACGAGTATCGTAACCTGTCAACCTATGATGATTTTTATGCGCTAGATATTGCCGACATCTTTTGTAAAGTTATACATTAAGAAAAAAAATAGAAGTGATAGTGAACTGAAAAATCAATTTACATTGATCGCAAAGATATTTATTAGAAGCAAATATGTCGATAACCTATCCATTATACATTATATGACTACTCAAGTTTGCATTTAGTTTTCTTATTTTGACTTTTATCTTCATCTTTTCTTCATTATCATCATTAACTAATCTGTCAAATATCATCATCAATATCGGTTAGATTTTTGCGCTAGTGAAATATCAACTATGTTTAATTCAAAAACAGATATAAAACGAAAAAAGAAGTGGGCGATAGAAAAACTTAAAACTGGTGAATTTATAGCTACAGTAGAACCGCTGTCATCATCTCATGGTTCATTTTGGGAACATTTATTACGTATTAAACGTTTAAATAATGAATATCCACCGTTTGTAAAATGTCGATTGTGCTATGAGATATTATCATATTCCATATCAAATGGAACTTCTACTAGTAGCTATCATTTTTGAAAATTGTTTAGATGAATCAAATACACTAAAAAACAAGAAAACTCTTGATAGGGTGTGGGTGCGAAGAGAAGATGCATATCAATATCGGAGTGTGTTTTAGTTCATCAGATCGAATATTAGAAAAAAGAAGATAGTTTTTAAATTCAGATATTGTTGATGATATTTTGATAATTAGAAATTTTCGAGATATATAATGTTGTTGTTTTTTGCTTCATGGTTGTAACAAATTGAAATGAAATTATATAATGAATTAATATGAAAGTTTGAAATTTTCTTTAATTTTAAAGAAAACAGGGCAGGCCAGGGCAGGGCAGGGTCAGGTTGTCAAAATCTGAGCAGGGCAGGTCACAGGTTGTCAAAATAGCGTAACTTGCAGCCCTCTATGTGAAAGATTGTCTGCCATTTATCAGCTATCCCTTCTTGATGAAATTATAAACGTAAGAATCAATTGAAAATATTTCGGTCTTCTTATTGAAACTGTTTATTTAACTATTTACTTTAGAAGCTAGTTGATCTTCCTTATGAGTAAGTTCTTATATGGTGATCATGAACGAAACCAGAAAGAAATACAAATTTAAGTAACTTGATAATCAAAAGTTCAGAAAGCATTAAGAAATAGCATACACGGATGAAACATGAATAATTACGGAAAGCAATACATTTTTATTGCTTCTCCAAATTTTTTTTAGGGGAAGCAATTGCTAACTCGTTGCTTGCTGATGCGCCGCCTATGTCAACAACTAATTACCTTTGGCTTACAATCTAAAATTTTTGCTGAATACTGTTAGCAAACAAGACATATAATTATTGAAGAAACATTTTTCAATATCAACATTTTTTACATGGTCATACGACTTTGCATGAAAATTTTGAAATCTCGAATTAGCAAGTGACTTACAAGTACTTCAACTAAATGATACGATAAGATATTGATTTTTTCAATGGATGCTCGATTATAATCTATTTTGCATAAAGG